CCCTCTAAAGAGTTCAGTCTGTGTTTGGTTCCTAGAAAGGCTTCAGTGAAATGTTGACAATTTTTACAAACATTGGCTTGTTTAGACTATTGAAAACATTGTAACTTGAGATTTATAGAAAAATAGATGAGTCATCCTTAAAAAAAAAACCGAGTAGCTTCATTAGACAAGGTGGCCTGGAACATTACTTTTGTCTAGCTTTCATATTTCTGAGCTATACAGAATATAACAACATTCCCATTGTTAAGAGAAACAGATAGTCTGTTAACATCACATTCTTACACATTGTGAACTTGGTAACTATGGGCAGTGCCTTACCACTTTGAGAAGAGAGCAGCCATTTTCAGTTAATCTCGTGTTGAAAGTCCCAAAGATGGTAAAGTGCAAATAAAGTACACGTCTGTGATAGGTATGATATGTAAGCAGTACTCACCCCACGTTATCAAAAGGAGGATCAACAACTGATTTTATGGGGTCACCTGTGGACACAGGGCACTCATTGGGAAGGCAGAAAACACAGTTGGGATCCTGGCACTTCATTGCCCTTGCTCATTGCCCTGGCCTAGGTGCACAGACGGTGCTAAGCCTTCATCCCTTCATCATTGAATTGGAGACGGTATGGGGCGGGGACTGTCAGTAATTTCTATCTCAGAGCGCCATCAAAAGAACTGAGTGATGGATGCTAACAGCTCTGAGCACAGTGCCTGGACCACAGTCAGTCTCAGCAGTTTCCATTTAAGCAGCAGCACAGTAGGATTCTGTGTGCCACACATGAGATTTGGATAAAGATTGAACTAGCTTAGGTGGAGAAATTGGACATGTCTGTGTTCACATAGCATGATTCATGTCTACTTCGTTGTTACTGCTGCTGCTTTCCTGTAACCAATTTTAGAGCCTGTCTTGGCAGCTGGAAGTATTTGGGATTAATTTCACACTCGCTTTATGAGTTGAGTGTTTTCCTGCAGCTCTCTGGGCTTCTGCCTCATTACTTTGGCATCAACTGATATGGCCATTGGACAGAGATATCCTTTGGGGTCCCCATTTTATTTGGAAACCATCAATTTGAAAAAGCAAAGCAAAAGTCATCAGCACAATGTGCTTGAAATTGTTAGCATTTACTGTTTCCTATAGCCCTTTCTTCTGTAGTTCTGTTGTACACTAGGGAGAACAAAGTTTGCTCGGACAGTGATGAGCCCTGAAATAGAGATCTCTCTCCCTCAAATGTTAAGTCCTAGAAGATGGTTGGCTTCGTCTCTTAGTTCCAGGTGATCTGGGAAATCTTTTGGGCCTTGGTCATTCAGATCTGAATCTTGATGGGTTTCATTTTTCCAGCTCTTTTTAATATGCTAATTATGCTTAATTCATTTGGCTCTCATCAAAAACAAAGTAAACTTGGCTGTTACATGCAAAACTAAATCGAGAACATAGAGATCTGTTTAGTATTTCATGCTGGCCAGTAGGTCAGGAAGATTTTCCTTGGGGGTAATTTACATGAGGAATTGTTTATCCCTTTTCTGTGATGGTTTGGGGATAACAGACTCTTTCCACAATGGCACAGAAATATATCCAGTGAGACCGGAGCTTGAGAGACAGTGCTTCTCCCAGATTGATGTATTTTGGGCCTTGTTCTGGAAAGATCCTGTGGCTTGGGCTGCTGTCACACTAAGTCATTCTTTCACTACAGCTGTGTTTAGCAAGCTGGGTGGGTCCATGAACTGACATGTTGCTACACTTAGTGAGAATTTTCCCTTGGTAGTTAGGAACATGCATAGAAGCTTCACTGAAGTCTCACTGCCTGAGTGCCCCAAGCATTTGTTATGCTTGGCAGTGCTCTATTGGGTACTCTTTGGACAATAGGAGCACTTAGAATATTCAGTGTCTTCTGAGTTAAGTACCTGCCCTGCACCTGAGCACTCCCCATGAACAAGCTTTTCATTTTCATCCTTCTAACAGCAGCTCCTCCAGTGGTCTCTACTCTTCTCCTTTGTTGGAATTGTGTCCTCTTTTAAAGGCCCATTCCTACTACCTGTGTGTTGGGAAGTCTCACTTCTCAGTTCTGTGCAGGAAAATGGTTAACATTACCTCTGGTGCAGAGAGCAGAGGGAGCTGTCTCTCACATTCTCTGAGTTTTCTGTTGTACAAAATTCTAGTAGCAGATTTCAAGCTATTGATGTTTCCAAGTACAGAGTTGAAGAAATGGTCAGTAGCCTACGACTGCAAAGTGCTAACCAAAGACAGATATAATAAGTAAAAGTTACGACAAGGCCTACAAAGCAGCAGGAAATAATGAGTTTTGAGCATTTATTGTCTTTTTATAATTTAATTTCAAGTCCTATAATTTTTAGTAATGGCCATATGAAATAAATGACTTGCAAAATTCCTGAAAATTGAACAATTGGTTCTTTCTCTTGACCTGGGAGGGGCTCAGTGAGCCAGGTCCAGTGTGTTTCTCCCTCCATGTGCTCCTCCCTGAAGCCTTCCAAACCCAGCTGGCATTAGAACAACTGTCTCTGAACCTACAAAATGCCTACCATCTCAAGCAACCTGCATTGAGACAGACCCCAATGCTTGGGTTCTGTGTTTTTGTTTTTGTTTTTGTTTTAAACTAGGTAGGGATATAGTCAGACTGGCTACTTAACTTGAAGATCCCAGTACAAAATGAAACTGATGGGCCCTGTTTACACAAGCAGAGAAAGTGATGTTAAAACAGCTATATAATAGAAAACCTTTTCCCTTTTCTTTAGTGGTCTGCCTTCTACAAGTTTTGATTCAATTTTTTTCTATTTTATAGTAAATTTAAAACTTTAAATTGGTATCAGTTTTACTATCGATTTTTATATGGCCAATGCCGATTTTAAATGCAAGTCTAAAAGCACTTCACTCATGTACTCAGATGTATCTACCTCCTCTGCTCATGTGCATGCTCCATTTTTCTGATGGCTTCAGGGACTTTCCTAAGCACATACAGCTTCAACTTTCTCATCTGTCTACAGAAAGATGTCAAGTAAGTACCAGTGACTGACAACACTGATCACACGTGGCATACCATTTCTGCTCAGTTAATTGAAGGGTTGTCTTTAACAGTCATGACCTTGATGCAGTTTTCTTTTGGGGTCTATGGGACCTTCCTTACAGGATCAGTATTTGTTTCCCTCACCCTATCTTTCTTCTCTAGTGTGAAAATTTTGAAGGTAGAGATTAGATCTGTCACTAATGAGTCCCCTGGAAATTCCTGCATATACCCAGAATTTAGGAGGCGTTTATGACCTTGATCTTTCTCTGAGTTCAACTTTAGACAACAATGATGCTTAATTGTTACTTAACATTCACAGCAAGACAAGAGAGTGTAAGCTTAGACTTCAACAGGAGTTGTTTGTGATCCTCGTGAGGGTGCAAATGATTTCAGGTGTTTCCCTTTAAGCAAAGTGGTCTCTCCTATCTCTTCTAGGGGGCTTCTTGAAGTAATGGGAAAGGGAGGCATTCCAGCCCCATTTGAGTAAAGAGGCCCCAGGGATATTAACTCTGGTCCATCGTAATCAGTCCCTTGCTAGCTTCTTTTACACTTTCTTTTCTGCCCAATTACAACATTATTATAGTAATGCTTCTTCCCACTAATTGGTTCTGTATGTATACTTTCTTTTAAATAATTACAAGTTCCCATGGGCTATCAGCTCTCGTCTACTTCTTTAGAATGCCAGAGGAAAGCACAGTCCTAGGCACACAGTCAACAGTGCATTTTATGTGGTGCTGGACTTGGTTCAGACCCCCATGGCTCCCTGGAGAGCTGACTGAACTGTAATTGGCTTCTGGAACTCCTTTAAGATGTTCTTCACGTGACAAAGAATCCTGGTGTTCACGGCATGTTCAGGCAAAGATCTTCAGTTGTGCTGTCTTTCCATAGCTCACATCTCATTTCCAGTGTCTCCCAGACACTCTGATGACTGTCCCTCTGGAGCCCCTCTCCCCACATGGAATTTGAGAGACCACACAGCTGTAGACTCTACTTGTTTGAATGATGATGTTTTAACAAGTCCTTTGGGCCAGTGTCAATAAGCCATGAAATATCACCGAATAGATGGTCTTCACCAGACTGCTGAGTCTCATCTGAGTCCTCAAGCTGGCGGGGACTTTGGGAAGGAGTTTATTACTCCAGCGTTAGCTCTTCCTGTTCTGGGGGACTATAGACGCCATGAATCTCCAGGCAGTCAGTTCATTACTTTTAATGAGCACAGAATTCACCAAGACATTGAAGTAAAATAGAGTCAAACACCAATGGGCAGACTTGGATATTCCCCCAATTTCTGCTTTAGTTCCTTTTTCCACAAGATTATTCAAGAGAAGTTTTTAAGGCAGATTCTATCCAGTCCTGCCAATTTCTATCCTAAGTAGATTTGGCATTGCAAACCTAACACACCCTGGGCTGTTTTTAATGCCCTGTGGGTTGGTGTCTGACATTTGTGTTAAAATGACAGTTTTCGAACTGATCAGATATTTGAACCTTGTTTGACTTTTACATACATTAAAGAAATATTGGATTTCTCAATGTCTTTAATCTATAAGACAAAGGATAAGTTATTTTCTGAAAATAGTGATGAAGTTATGTAAAACAGAGATTTAGCTACTTTGATTTTATTTTAATTGATCAGTGTTCACAGCTAATTGTAAAAGATTGAAATAGTTTTTACTCTTGAGTACTTATATCCCCACATATTGAAGAAAGCCAGTTGATATCGAGGCACACATGGAACAACATCCCTGTAAAGCTGATTTGTGGATATTTCCAGCCCTGGCCATATGGATTTGGAATAACTTGAGACATTTTCTCAAAGAAGGAAGCTAGCAGATGAATGATGACTTCTTTATTATTCAACCTGACTGTGTTTGTGGAAGACAAAGCTCATCAAGATGTTTTAAAGGAAAACCAAAGTGTGCTAAATGTAACTTGCTGAGGGCTCAGGGACTGTGAAATCATCGCTAACTACAGTGTGTCATTTCTTCAGGTGATTGCTCTAGCAGATGCAGTGGAGGAGAACCAAGACAGGCTGTTGCAGTCCTCTGCTGGCCTGAGGAGTGCCACCCATTTGCTGATCCTGCTCGTCAGGCTGTGGCAGAAGCTGAGTGCTGACCAGACTGCTATTCTAGAAGCAGCGTTTCTGCCTCTACAGGAAGACACACAGGAACTGGTAAGGACCCAAGGCCCACAGCTGCATGATTGAAAAGGCTTTGGTTTAGAGGAGATATCACGTGCCTATCTATGGTTTTTAAGGCATCAAAGGAGGCTTGTGTTTTTACAAAAATGCTGTTTTCCTTTTCTTTAAACAATAATAAAAGTGTCATATGGCAGCACTACCCCACCCCCCAGCAGTTTTAAAAATAGGCCTATAGTCCATTTTTTATGTAGTACCCAGTCTGTTTTATGTGCTCCTCAATCTCCGAGAGGCAGAGAAGTAGTCATTTGACAGCCTGAGTGATTGCAGTAAAGCCTCCAGATTAGCTAATCCTTCCAAGTCTGCCAGAGAAAACACTTCAGTCATTTTAATTTGTTCGATGTTCTTAAATTTTAGTGTCACTTCAAAGGTTAGGGCACTGAGATGGCTTTGCTGAAAGGGATGGGAACAGTTCTTTACATTTGCAGAGTTCTTTATAATAGTTGATAAAGCCCTCTGCCTTAGAAGAGGCATTTCAGAGTGAAATGGGAAAAGTGAGTCTGTGACGTAGATTTTAACCAGGGTCCATTAAACCAAAGTGCCTGACTTCTGGGAATCACAGATGTGCACAGGACCAGGTGCCCTGTGCATGGTCTGTGTACTTTTATTTATGGAGAAATAATAGGCACCCCAGAAACCAGAGGTCCAAGCTCAGCTCTTTGTGGTGGTTTCAAGCCCAGTTTTAAACCGAGACCTGAGAATGTGGTCATGAAAGTTACAGTGCTGAAGCTAACACTTTTTTCAAGTGCTCTCCTGGCACTGCTGTAGTCATTTTCCAAGAACCATCTCATTTAATCATAGATGTGGCACTGACAATAGCTTAAGTATTGTTTCCATCTCCATTTTATAAAACACAAAACCCAAACCTAAGTTTTCTATAGTTAAATGCATTTCCAACACTGGTGGCAGTAGGGCCAGGATTTAGACCCAGTCCATCTGCTCGTAAAGTGTATGCTTTTAACCAGATACCTTATTTTAGTGAACACATTCATTGTCTTATTATTTTCTGTTTCCATAAAGAGACACCATGCACGGGCAAGGAAACTTTAAAAAGGAAACATTCCATTTGAGGATCATGGTTCCAGAAGGTTAGATCCCATGACCATCATGACTGGCCAGGAGCATGGCAGCAGGCAGGCATGGCCATAGGGCAGTAGTTGACAGCTCACATCTGATCTACAAGCACCAGGCAGAGAGAGCAACAGACAGACAGACAGCAGCAGAGAGACAGACAGAGAGAGGGGGAAGAGGGAGAGAGGGAGGGAGGGAGGGAGAGAGAGAGAGCGCTGAGAATGGTGTGGACAAGCCCATCACTAGTGACATACCTCCTCCAATATGGCCACACCTCCCAGTCCTTCCCAAACCTTACCACCAACTGGGGACCTAGCATCCAAATCTATGAGCCTACAAGGGCCATTCTCATTCGAACCATCACAATCATAAAAATCTTAAGTTTTGTCAGCTGCATAAAACTTTTTTTAAAAGAAAAAGCTTTATTTTTGTGACTTAAAACATGAATAAATACACTGAAATAAAGAAACACAGTTTTAGTTGCAAATGATATAAAGAGACTGACAATTTTTTATAAGTCAAATGACCTTCAGTAGTAGCACTGGAGACACTTAACTGCAATGAGAGAAGGAACATTGTGGTGTGGCCAGCTATTTATAAACTCACATTAGGAGGCAAAAGGCCTTGGTTAATCTGCAGTTTTGGTTCCACCACTGAATGACAGTCGCTGTTGTGCTCAGCTGTTCTGAATTGCTGCTTCTGGATCTGTAAGAGGCAAGCTAGGCCCCAGCCCAGAAGCTATGAGAGGAACTGAAGGGGACAGCTCAGCAGAGTAGTAGAGGCTAGAGGTCAGCATTGGAACTGGTTTGCCCTAAATTGCCTTTATGATAATTGTCCATCTCTCTGTCATATTCAAAAGCTGGACTCATGTCTTAGGTCCTTTTGCATTCGTAGGACTTCTTTAAGGACTGGTCCAAAGTCAATATTTATCCAACAGAAGATTGCAGAGAATGGTGAGGGTGGAAGAGAAGAAAGCAGTACAGGACAAGTTTGTAATTTGTATAGTGCAGTGCAAAGGTTAACACAAACCCCTTGTTCAAAGAGTAGGAGCAGGAGTCCTAGAGAGGATGGTGACATGGTTCAGCAGGTAAAGAAAATGGACATGCAAGCTTGGCAGCCCAGGTTCTCTGCCTAGAGACCAAATAAAGGTTCATGGAGACAACTGATGCCACAAAGTTGTCTTCTGACGCCTGCATGTGCACTGTACACACCATCTCCGCACCTCACAGGCACTCACATACATACATGCACCCCCGCAACACACACTAACTAAACATTTTAAATCACAGTGGATCCTCCTTCCCGAATCCCATTTTGCTGTATGCATATTCTGAACTTCTGTGTTCTGTGTTAAACTACAGACCAAAAATGTTAATATGTAAATATTGTCTGAGAGAGAGTACATTAGCACAGTTTTTATTACAGTATGTTGTGATGCTTCTTTGATTTTTTTGTTATCATTAATTTCTTCCTGTGCCTATTTATAAATCTGATGTATACTGCATATAAAAAGTATGTTTGTCTAAGGTTTGGTACTGCCTGAGGTTTCAGGCACCCACTGCAGGTTTGGTATATCAAAGGTGAGGAAATAATACTATCAAGTCAGTCAACTTCTCATTTTTTAAATTTGTTCTTTCATGTCCTAGATAAAGAACAAATGAAAACCGATTTTTGTTAGAATGAAACTTAATTTTATATCATTAAAGAACTCTGTTCTTTGTGTGTGTGTGTGTGTGTGTGTGTGTGTGTGTGTGTGTGTGTGTGTGTGTGTGTGTGTTTGTGTGTGTGTGTGTGTGTGTGTACATGTTACAGTCATGTGTGGAGGTCAGAGGACAACTTAGCAGAGTTGGTTCTCTCCCACCACCATGTGGGTTTTGGAGTTGAACTTAGGTTGAGTGTTCACCATGCAGGTCTTGAAAAACAGCACCTTTTAGAAAAACATGAGTGTATTCCCCATGTATGCCATAAAGAGCAGAGCCCTGTAGTAATACATGAGTGCTTTCACCATGTAGTAGTTGAAAGGCTTGGTCCCTCTTCTTTCTTGAAGACCTTCTTCTACCTTGCCTCTCTATACAACTCTATTCTCTCAAAAAAAAAAAAATGCAGAGAAAGTTTCTCCCAACTTTCTTCCTAATTGCCGAGATGAGGTATGGGTACTGTGTCTGTTGGATATGACATTTGAAAGGAAACATAGCCTAAAGAATGAATTCAAATAGTAATTTGAATTTATGCTCTTCATCTTTAATCGGACTGTATTTTCAACTTTGGAATTGTGTTGTTGAGACAGCTTGTGTCTTAAAAGAAAAGGAATACTTTTTCATTTTTTAAGATATGTGCATACCGTATGTGGTTTTAACATGCTAGTTCACAATTCCCCATGCTGTGTCTATAGACCTCACAAATAAATGTTATGTGATGGGACTCTGTGCTATCTAACTGAGATGTGAAAATGAAATATTCAAACCTGAAATAATTTGAGAGAAGGGTGAGGCAGGAAAGAAAGAAGTCTCTTACCAGAATTTTGAAAATATGCCCCATATTGAAGTTATTATGATACCACAAAAATCTGAATGCAATTTAGATGGTTTGGTTGAGGATAGATGGCAGAGTACATGTGTTGTGAGGGGGAGGAGCCCGGACATGTGGACAACATTTCCAGAAGACACTGTCAGCTCAAGGTCAGATGTCCCCACAAGTACTGAGAAGTAGAAAGAAATGCCCAGACAGTGTTTATGTTTCAGATATAGCTCTGGGTAATCTGTATAATGATTTGTGTTGTTATTTAGATGGAGTGTGTCAGCAGACAAGCTAAATTCAATAGAAAACTAAAATAGTTTCTTCCTAATGATATCAGCTTCACAAGGCAAACAACACTCAGAACATTCCTATGTTAGTGGAAAGCAGCACTTTTCAAGTGATGTCATCTGTGGTCAGTGTTAGTGAAAGCAGTGCCCTTTGTATGACATCATCAGTCTTTAGTGTTAGTGGAAAGCAGTGTCCTTCACATGATGTCATCAGTGGTCAGTGTTAGTGAAAGCAGTGCCCTTCATACTGCATCATCTGTCTTTAGTGTTAGTGGAAAGCAGTACCCTTTGCACGATGTCGCAGCAGTCAGTGCTAATCATCAATATTGGGTTTGAAACAGCACTGCATTTGCATCAGAACTCGTGGTAGTTTTCCTTACCCTGTCTCTTTAGAGACACTTTGCCTTATTTTGTTGTTGTTGTTACCTTCCAGTAGCAAATAAATGCTGGTATTTCTGACTAGAGCATGTCCTTTTTGTTTGTTTTTTAAGGTCCCAAAACTTGCATGCAACAGAGATGTTTGTGAAGCTGCTTTGCATACTGAAAAAAATATTAAAGACTTAGTTTTGTCTCTAAGAGCTCTTAAGTATATAGTCCCACTGGTGGGTTTGGTTATTAAAATTGCCACTGTCCTATTCCTGTAATGATGGCATACATGTAGTCCAAAATAGTATTTTATCACTGTATGTCATAGGGCTTTAGTTGTGCATCTCTCCCATTATGCTTCACAGAAATCAAAAGACATAAAGGTAGGTGTGTGTGTGTGTACTTTTAGAATTGGCTCAAAGGGATAATCTTTTATCAAGTCATTTAAACAGCCAATGAATTTTTATAGAGGACTTACTAGTTTTTAAGCACCATTTGACCTACAGCATATCTTTTAAGCAAAACAATTGTAGGTGTCATTTTTGGTGGTTTAGTTTAAATTTGTAAGCAAACGTTCTAATCCTGAGCTCTCCAATAGTAGCCATTTACACATGAAATGTAAATAGGCTGATGTGAGATACATTGACTTCACTGTATTTCTCTTGCTAGTAGCTTCATGTGACAAGTGCTTCCTATGTTAGACAGTACAGACAGAAATTTCTGGCATTCCAGAAA